GCAGTTTTTCATCCTATTTTTAAGTTGTGGCTTTGAATTGTTATGGAATGGAGATTGCCACATGCTGCAGCATTGAGTTGCCCTGATTCTTCCTTCTTCTCTGATTATGGGGTTATGGTTATGGCAACCTTCTATCAAAGGTTTCTCGCATACGTATCTGGCTTGATGACAGGCTGTAAGATTCATTTTCTGGATGAATCTTAGAAAACAACTGGACCAAGGAGGTACTGGGCATGAGAACAGATCATCTTAGAAAGGTTGAAAACAGCAAAAAAGCATTAAAAATGTGAGAAGGAAAAGCACATAGACATTTATTTATATTAGGTACTGATACAGTGCCATCACTTTACATATATATTCTACATTCACATCAGTCCCTAACTCTCAAGGGGTGTACACTCTAACTCACATTCATACATACACATACTAGGGCCAATTTAGACAGGAGACAATTCACCTACAAGCATGTCTTTGGAGTGTGGGAGGAAACCGGAGTACCCAAAGGAAACCCACGCAGGCACAGGGAGAACATGCAAAGTCCAGGAAAATGGTGCCTTGGTTGAGATTCAAACCAACAACTCTAGTACTGCCAGGCAGAAGTGATAACCATTTAGCCACTGTGCTGCCCTACTGCCTACTCTGATGACATTTGGTAAGAGGGGTGTGCAAATTCGAAGGTATATTCAAAAAAGCCTAAAATGTTTGTCAAAAGTATGGTGATTCATACAAGGCATCAAATATCTACCCAAAATTGTGGTCCTGCAAAAAAGCCATCTCGTAAGAACTGTCAAAGGCAAGCCTTTATTTCTCTGCAACTTAATGGATGGATTTCTATATTTCTTACAGTAATGGAAGCCATTGATTCCAAGGTCTCACAACGACAGAGAACTCTGTCCTTCCAGGGACAGGCCACCACCATGATTTGCTGCATCCTTTTCTTAAGTCTCTGATGAGACCAAACTTTGCAAACTGAACCCATTGCCTTCTATGATGAAAAGGAAACAGTTACCAGTTATGAAAAAAAAATGTTTGTCCGCTAACTCAACAATTTAACCACTTCCAGTCCGGACACTTTTACCCCCTTCCTGTCCAGGGCAATTTTCAGCTTTCAGCGCTATCACACTTTGAATGTCAATTGCGCGGTCATGCAACACTGTACCCATTTGAATTTTTTACCATTTTTTTGAGACAGATAAAGCTTTATTTTGGTGGTATTTATTCACCGCTGGGATTTTTATTTTTTTTGCTATGTAAATGAAAATGTCCAAAAATTTTGAAAAAAATGTTTTTCTTATAAAATTTTGCAAATAAATAATATTTCATCATAAATCTTGGCCAAAATTTATTCCGTTATCTTTTTAGGTAAAAAAAAAAAAATAAGCCAAATTAGTTTATAACCAAAAATTATAATTTTTAAACACATTTTTTTAATTTTTTTTTTTTATATTATTATTTATTTATTTATTTATTTTTTATATACTGTCACCCTAGCAGTACAGTGTCACCATGGTGACACTGTACTACTTGTGGGGGGTGATGAAGATTTTTTTTTTTTTTTTTACAGTGATTGCTTTTACACCATATAGGATGTAAAAGCAATCATTTATCTTTCTCTCTGTCTGCATTCTTGCAGCCATTGAGAACTACTGAGTGAGCTGTGATTGGTCACAGCTTGTCACATGGTACAAGGCTGTTGTGAATATCCTTGTACCATGTGACCTCTGTGATCATTCACAGATTTCACACATAGTAAGCAATGATGTCACAAGTGACATCTTGCTTACTACTTTGCATGTGATCACTGATTGGCCAATCAGTGATCACATGATCGGGATGGTCGTACAGAGGTCGTACAGATCGTCTGTGTCCGGACACAGCGGGCACCGGATCGCGGTGCTGCGCGCTCCCAGGGAGCGCACACAGCTAGAAATAGCGGGTGCCATTTATAAACGGCAACCCGCCCCTGGAGTGCCACCGTCCTGCCAATTTTATAAACAGCAGGGACGGCAAGTGGTTAAATTAAAAATACTAATTACTTACAAAGCCATCCGCAACTCGGGAACAGCTACATCACAAACCTAGTCTCAAAATTCCAACCAAATCTTTCTCTTTGTTCCTCCTAAGACCTCCTGCTCTCTACCTCCCTTGTCTCCTCCTCCCATGCTCGCCTTCAAGACTTTACCCAAGCCCTATGGAACTCCCTATTCCATTCTGTCCTACTATCTGCTACTCTCTCTATTTTTTGGTTATCCCTGAAAACTCCTCTCTACAGAGAATACTATTCTGCCCCCACCTAACAACTGTACTTTTATTTTCTCCATCAGTTCATCCCCCACAGCTATTACCTTTTGTATCACTTGACTTTCTGTATTAGATTCAGGGTGGATAAAAATCAATGATTTTTTTAAAAAAAATCAAAAAAAATCGTTTTTTTTTAAATCGGATTGTTTTTATTTAAATCGGATTTTTTTAAATAAAATGCTTTTTGAGGAAAATATATTACCATCCAAAGATTATTCCATCATGAAATAAAGATTATTTTTTAATTATGTAGAATAAGGCTGTATATGTTTAATTTTTTTGGTAAATAAATTCCATGAATCCATTCACAATGTCACGCTCTTCCAGAGGTTTGTGTAAGATTATTGGGCAGTTTCTCTGCCTACAAGATATTATCACAGATGATTGGTTTACTTTTGCAGTTCTCAAAACTGAATTTGACTCGGCGGAGATCACATGCCTCTTCTTCACAGCAAAAATGTTATAACATGAACAGAGTTAAGAAAAAGACCTTCATCTTAACTTCTACAAACCTCTGAATACAGAATCAACCCCTTCACTGCTAAGTATCAAGAAGTTCAGTGAATAGAATAGAAACAATATTTTTCTGATTGTTTGGAGTGGAATAGATCTGCACAAGAAGAAAGTGAAACTAAGTGTGAGGAGGGAGGGGCCGACAGTGTGAGGAGGGAGGGGCCGACAGTGTGAGGAGGAAGGGGCTGACAGTGCGAGGAGGGAGGGGCCGACAGTGTGAGGAGGGAGGGGCCGACAGTGTGAGGAGGGAGGGGCCGACAGTGTGAGGAGGAAGGGGCCGACAGTGTGAGGAGGAGGGGCTGACAGTGTGAGGAGGAAGGGGCTGACAGTGTGAGGAGGAAGGGGCCGACAGTGTGAGGAGGGAGGGGCTGACAGTGTGAGGAGGAAGGGGCTGACAGTGTGAGGAGGGAGGGGCTGACAGTCTAAGTTTCTTCAAATATATATATTTTGTTTAGCCAAATTAGTTACCAAACATGGATGTTTAAGCAAATCACATATGCTGGAATGTTATTGTTTTAGTTGAATAAATCTATTTAAATTGTTATTATTAAGGTAATGATTATTTTTCTCCTTCCTAAGTACAACAGAAAAGTTGTCCAAATATGAATGATTAACCTATTAAACTGGGGATAAAAAAACTAATATGAAAAGTTGTTATTCTAAAAATCTTCATCTACTTGCATATTAAAGTTATACCAGCAAGAATTAGTCTTTATGTAGAAAACTAGGATTTAAATCAAGCCTTACTGACTAGTGATTTAAATCGTGATTTAAATCGTGATTTAAATCAGTTTGATTTAAATCAAATCCACCCTGATTAGATTGTAAGCTCTAATGACAAGGGCCCTCTGATTCCTACTGTATTGAATTGTATTGTAACTACTGCCTGCCCTCGTGTTATAAAGCGCTGCGCAAAGTGTTGGCGTTATATAAATCCTGTATAATAATAGTAGAGACTTTAAAAAAATGATTATAGATAGCTAGCTGTGATACACCAATGAAGTAACTAGTGGGATATAAAGAGTTTCTATTAAAGGTGAAAACAACCACGACAAGCATGTGACACATTGTAAAATATCTAGGCAACTAGATGACATATTGTTTGTATGGCAAAAAAGGAACATTAACTATCCATGTGTTTGCTGCACCCATCCAACAGCTGAGTTTAGGAGGAAGTTATGCTGACTTCCAGAGCCCCTTAGAAAAGAATAGACAGATGTATCTGACTCACCACCATTGAACTGGTCAGACATCTGCTTCTCCAAGGCTTTAATATGATATCAAAAGATGTGCATAAATAAGACATGACCAAGCAAGCTGATTTAGGTTTTGGTAGGCTTTATTACCCGATTGGAGAGCTCAGTATCAGTCCATCTATATGGTATGAAGGTATCTGCGATATTTTCATGAAGTTGCTTGCATTAAGAACCTAGTAGACTAGGAGAGGGACTAGCAGCACAAGGAGCTAAACAGACTAAACAAGGACATGCTGACAGGAGGAGAGATCAGAGGGGTGCATTCATCAGTTTGCTGTGGCATCTTCACTGTCCAGTCACAATCTGGAGGCAGGAGGTAATCTACCTGTGTTGTCTGACTGCAGCAGAGAATGGTTTGATCACCAACCTGGCTTTGTTGTCTCACAGGACAGGGCTGTTTAACCCCTCGCCTACAGGGCACTTATACCCCTTCCTGCCCAGGCCAATTTCTAGCTTTCAGCGCTGTTGCACTTTGAATGACAATTGCGCGGTCATGCAACATTGTACCCATATGAAATTTTTATCATTTTTTTGTGACAGATAGAGCTTTATTTTGGTGGTATTTAATCACCTCTGGGATTTTTATTTTTTCTTATACAAACCAAAAACCACTGAAAATGAAAAAAAAAAACGTTTTTCTTAGTTTTTGTTATACAATTTTGTAAATAAGTGATTTTTCTCCTTCACTGATGTGCTCTAATGAGGCTGCAGTGATGGGCACCGATAGGCTGCACTGATGGACACTGATAGGTGGCACTGATGAGGAGGCACTGGTAGGTGGCACTGATGGGCATTGATAGGCATCACTGATGGGCACTGAAAGGCAGCATTCATATATGGCACTGATAGGCGGCACTGACTGGCACTGTTAGGTGGCACTGACGGGCACTGATGCACACTGGTAGATGGCACTGACTGGAAATGATAGGTGGCACTGACTGGCACTGATTGGCAGCACTGATATGTGGCACTGACTGGCATTGATAGGTGGAACTGACTGGCACTGATGGGTGACACTGAAAGGCAGCTCAGATGGGCACTGATATGTGGCATTGATGTGCACTGGTAGGCACTGGTATGTGGCATTGATGAGGCACTGATGGGCACTGGCAGGTGGCATGGATGGACACTGACAGGTGGCACTGCTGGGGCTACACAGATCATCAGGGCACACTGATGATCAGTGTACATGTCCCCTCTGAGGGATGCCGATTACGGGCTCTCCTCTCCTCTGTCAGCGTGACAGCTCGTGGGAGAGAAATGCCGATAACTGGCATTTCCCTGTTTACATGTGATCAGCTGTGATTGGACACAGCTTCTCACATGACCGAGCCGAAATCTTCCGAGGGACATCTTCCGAGGGACACAACGCAGCATCGATCGCCGCGCTGCACGCTCCCGGATCCACTCATGCGCGGTTAGAATGGGACTACGTCGTATGATGTCCTACCAGAACGAGAGAACCGCCTTGCGCCCGTCATTGTACTATATGGCGGGCGGGAGGCGGTTAAATTTCAGAACTGACATTCCCAGGTCTTCCCAAAATGGCCAGGAAACTCACCACACATATTCTGACAGCGGCTAGAAGAAGCATTCCTATGTGCTGGGTATCCTCTATACCTCCTTCGATGCCAACAGGTGGCCCTGTGCTGCTTCATCCAGAGTGGGGGTATTCTAATACTAATATATGAAGTATGTTACTGCCCAAATCACCAGGTGAAAACAGAGGGGGGGGAGCCTAAAAAAAAAAGAAAACTAATGCAGCCACCACATCTAATGATTGGTAAGCTGCAATATATTACATTTTTGGTTTTGGATTTAAAGTCCCTTTAATATGTACTTGCAGAGTTTCAGCAATATAGCAGTGTCAAGGCTGGGGCCACATCACACAGGTATCTGACATACTTCCAGGTGAAGGTTTGCAAGAGAGTTAAAATTGGAGTCCCCATCAGCTGGACTGCAAAGTGTTCTAGTTTTTCACTTGGAGGGTGCCATTTCTGAAATGATTCTTCTAGCAATAGTAGCATATTTCTGGAGCCCATCTCTGAGCAAACAGTAAAAAGAACACCCAAAGAAGGATCCCAACATCTGAACATGTAAGAATAGAAAAAAACTTGGGACCGACACATCATGTGACAGCAGATTTAGGTGAACAAAAGGACATATGCATGGGGTTTTTTGTTAGTGATGTCAACAATTATTTAGAGGGGATGGGGGCAAGAAGGCTTAGGGGAGGCAGTCCAGAGTTTCATTTTAACCACATGCCGCCCAGCCACTGTAGAAATACGTTGGCAGGGTGGCGCGGCTGGGAAAAACCACGTTTTAAAACGTGTGTTTGCAAAACAGGTAGGGGGCGCGCGAGGCGCCCGCCGCCCTACCTGTCCCGCCGATCTCGGCTGCGGATGTCAGTTGCCAGGTCACAGCCGGTCGTTACCGGCTATGTCCCGCCGATTAGCGGCAATCACTGACAGAGAGCACAGCTGCAGTAGCTGTGCTTTCTGTCAGTTCCCTGTCAGCTCCTGACAGGCTGAATGGGACAGAAGAGTTTATCTCTCCGGATCAGTGTGTCTCCGTGCAGTACACACCCCCGCCCCCTAGTAAAAAAATCCCCTCACACAGTTAACCCTTTCAGTGAATAATATAGTTAACCCCTTCCTCCCCAGTGCCATTAGTACAGTGTCAGTGTTTTTTTTTTTGCACTGATCACTGTATTGGTGTCACTGGGGATGTCAGTGACCCCAAGTCAGTTCCCCCCAGTGTCAGAATGTCCGCCATAGTCCCGCAGTCCCGCCATAAGTCGCTGATTGCCGCCATAAGTCGCTGATCGCTGCCATTATTAGTATATAAAAAAAACTAAAAATCCCAGTATCTTTCCCGCCATTTGTAAACGCTATAACTTTCACGTAAACCAAGTAATTTACACGTATTGGGGTTTTTTTTTAGCAAAGACATGTCTCAGAATGCATTTTGGCAGAAACTTATGACAAAATTTGATTTTTACATTTTTTTTACTGGACATGTTTTATAGCAAAAAGTCCAAAATATTGTTTTTTTCCTCAAAATTGTCAGCCTTTTTTTTTATAAAAACAAAAAACACACAGGCAATCAAATACCACCAAAAGAAAGCTCAATTTGTGGGGAAAAAAAGGAGGTAAATTTCATTTATTTACCATATTGCATGACTGCGCAATTGTCCGTTAAACTAGCGCAGCGCTGTATAGCAAAAAAATGGCGTAAATTGCAGTATCTATACCATAGTTTGTAGACGCTATAACTTTCACACAAAGCAATCAATATACACTTATTGGGATTTTTTTTACCAAAAACATGGAGCAGAATACATTTTGGCCTAAATTTATAACCAACTTTGAGTTTACTATATATTTTTTATAGCTGAAAGTAAAAAATATCATTTTTCTTCAACATTTTTGTTTTTTTTTTTGTTTATAGCGTGAAAAATAAAAAGCGCACAGGTGATCAAATACCACCGAAAGAAAGCTCTATTGGTGTGAAAAAAAGGACGTAAATTTCGTTTGGGTGCAGCATTGCATGACCGCGCAATTATCAGTTGAATTAGTGCAGCGCCGAGTAGCAAAAAGAGGCGGTCATTAAGGGGGGTAAATCCTCTGGAGGGCAAGTGGTTAAGGAAACATACTTGTGTGATTCATTAAATAAGTAGGAAACCGTTTCTCCTTCTTAGTAGTGGAAAGCTACAGGAATCTCTTGTAGTTATTTAGCATCACCCTTTGTCTCTTTCACCATTTACAAAGGTATCTGACCTTTCATAAACAGAAAAACATCTAAAACTGTAACTGGTATATCACATTTGTACTTGCAGTGAGATGACAAAGTTCCTACTAAAGCCAAATCTCATTAGTAACAATGATAGCTTGTTGTATCCCTGTACAACTGATAAAAACACATTAATGAGAAATGTACCAAGCCATGTCCCCATTTGTGTTGTGGTACCTTAGTGCTTGTATGATCAACTGAAAGACATTTGTAGATATTAAAAACAGGGAATAAAAAAAGACAAAGCAAACCTTAAAGTGATTCTAAAGGCTTTTTTTTTTTAAATAACAAAGATGTCTATACTTGCCTGCTGTGTGCAGTGCTTTTGCACAGAGAAGCCCAGATCCTCCTCTTCTCAGGTCCCCTGCTCCTGGCCCTTCCCTCCTGTCGGGTATCCCCACAGCAAGCAGCTTGCTATGGGGGCACCTGCTGCTCCAGGTGTCCATTCACACATGCAGTTGTGGCTTAGCCCTGCCCCCTCTCTCTTCTCACTGGCAGTGATTGACAGCAGCGGGAGACAATGGCTCTCATTTCTATCTCAATGAGGAGAGGGAGTCCCGGGATAGCCGAGACTCCAGTGCACATCGCTGGATCGAAAAGGGGGCTTAGGTGAGTATTAGGGGGGCTGGGGGGATGCTGCACGGAGAAGGTTTTTTACCTTTGTGCATAGAATGCATGGTGGCAAGAAACCTTGAGCCTTTAAAACCACTTTAAAGTGACTGTAAACCCTCACCTTGTAAAACAACCCAATCGGTTTAAAATAAAAATAAAAGGTAAAACGATTAAATTCTGCAATTTCATGGCAATAACCACAACCAATTTAGGTAACTGTCCCAAATAAAAGTGTCCATTGTGGCAACAAAAGGGAAAAAAGTCACAATATGCTTGCTTGTGCAGCAGCTTTGATAAAATTGGTCACAGATGTTACTGTGTTTAAAATACGCTCAATCAAACTTAGTTTAGCACAAAGATATAGACACATACATAAATTACAAGTATGCATAACAATTCTGCAATGCCAATGGCTCTCGCTGCTGTCTCAGCCAATGAGGAGACAGAGTCCCTGGATAGAGAGGGGCTTAGGTGAGTACTAGGGGATAAAACACCTTGAGCCTTTACAACCACTTTAAAGAGAAAATGAGACTAAGGGGTAATCAAGCCTGATTAGAGTAAGCTAAGGGTTAATAGGGAGTTAAACTGAGGAACATTTTATTTAAAAAAAAATAACTTTTCAGGTGGCTTAAATTGACACAATGTGCAGATCTAAATTCATTCCTTTGATCTGCAGTTGAATAACCAGAATGATAGAAAAGTAACAATTTGTTACATTGTATCTTTCTATATTGGCATCTGGAACAGTGCTGTATATACAATGAAGGGAATAAGTATTTGATCCCCTGCTGCTTTTGAATGTTTGCCCCTCACAAAGAAATGATCAGTCTAAAAATCGAATGGTAGGTGTATTGTAACATAGAGACAGAATAGCAACAACAAATTCAAAAGAAATTCATGTCTAAGAAATTATACACTGATTTGCATGTTCATCAGGGAAATAAGTATTTGATCCCCTATCATTCAGCAGGATTTCTGGCTACCAGGTGTCTTTCATACAGGTAACAAACTGAGATTAGAAGCAATCTCTTAAAGGGACTGCTGCTAATCTCATTTTGTTACCTGTATAAAAGACAACTGTACACAGGAGCAATCAAACAATCAGATTCCAAACTCTCCACCATGGCAAAGACCAAAGAGCTGTCCAAGAATGTTAGGGACAAGATTGTAGACCTACACAAGGCTGGACCAAATAATCGCCAAGCAGCTTGGAGAGAAGGTAACAACAGTCGGTGCAATCATTCGCAAATGGAAAAAACACAAAACAAGTGTCAGTCTCCCTAGGTCTGGTGCACCATGCAAGATCTAACCTCGTGGAGTGTCAATGATCATGACAACAGTGAGGAATCATCCCAGAACTACACGTCAGGATCTTGTCAATAATGTTCAGGCAGCTGGGACCACAGTCACCAAGAAAACAATTGGTAACACACTACGCCGACAAGGATTGAAATCCTGCAGTGCCCGCAAGGTCCCTCTGCTCAAGAAAGCACATGTCCAGGCCCATCTGAAGTTTGCCACTGAACATCTGAATGATGTAGAGGAGGACTGGTGTGGGAAGTGTTGTGGTCAGATGAGGCCAAAATCAAGCTCTTTGGCATCAACTCAGCTCGCCGTGTTTGGAGGAGGAGGAATGCTGCCTATGACCCCAAGAACACCATCACAACTGTCAAACATGGTGGTGGAAACATTCTGCTTTGGGGGTGTTTTTCTGCTAAGGGGACAGGACAACTGTTCCACATCAAAGGGACAATGGACGGGGCAATGTACCGTCAAATGTTGGGTGAGAACCTTCTTCCCTCAGCCAGGGCATTGAAAATGGGTTGTGGATGGGTGTTCCAGCATGACAATGACCCAAAACACACGGCTAAGGCAACAAAGGAGTGGCTCAAGAAGAAGC